ATAAGCCCAGTCGCCGGCTACAAAGCCCAGTTTGCCAACATGATAGAGTGAAGTTCTCATCTCTATGCGTGCGCAACTGGTTACGTGTTGCAAATCATTTTTTTGTTTTTGTTATTACCTAAAATACAGACAAACAGCATCTTTTTTGTACATAACCAAGCTCTATAAATAATACAGTACGTATGTAATGTGTAGTGCCTATACTGTATTTGCTAATCAAGAACTAGGACTCTCCGGTTAGTGCGCCCACCACTTATTAAGCCCAATTTGATCTGGGCCCGAGGTGGGCTTAATAACCGGCGACTACTGTATCTTGTTTCAGTTTAAAGGACATTAATCCGGGGGGTGGGGGCAAATCCGTCGGAAAATAAACTTTAAATATTTGCTCCGAAGGTTTATACAAAGCTCTACGCCAGTGCAAAATAAGTACGTAATACCCACAAACTGCCAGCACGCAGACAGTGATGACGTGAACGCTTCTTAATTATTTACCATACTGACGACATGGCAGTTCGTCCATCGATTTCTCCGAAGTTCACCGTATGCTCCAAACGTATTGCTACAAAAACTTTAACTGGCGCCGGGTTAGGTTTAAGTGATAGTAAACTTCCGCTACATCTATCAAAATCTCTCTTCTCTTCCCCACCTGTTACCGGCAGAGTCAAGAAGACCAATACGGGATTGGGCGCAAGGCCGCCTCTCATTTGCGTGCCGCCAAACTTGGCTAGGATCCCAACTAAGTGGGAGGGTCGTAATGGCCAAAGTGAGAAGGAGTTTTACTCTCAGTCCGCCAGTCAGTCACTCCACTCAACAAAACACACTCGACTGACTTCGCAGTCCAAATTACAATTTGGCAACTCTCCAAGTCATGGCTTTTAGCGCACTGTACTAGCTTCAAGCACATCGGATTGTTTACAGTGACGAAGAAATACACTGAGTCGTCGACCTTACCCTCGCTCACCCATTCACCAACACAAGGCTACCGTCCATTCAGGTTGATCGGCTGATGCGAGAT